TAATATATGTCCATCTTGACAATTATTTTTTCCCTTTTTTATTTTTTCTTTGCTTCTCGCCTTCGTAAGCATTTACGCGTAATATGCCTGGTCAGCTATGGACCACTTGACGACAGCACTGAGCTGAGCTGAGGATGTATGAGAAGGAGGAGAAGGGGGAGGAGGAGGAGGTTGAGAGTAGGTAGACGGGGTTAGACCGGTCAATATTTGTTTAGAACCGGGAGAAAAGCTGTGCCTCGGGGAAAGCCGCTTATGTAAATTCACCCTTGCAGGGGGTGGGTGGGAGGAAGGGAAGAAGGGGTTGGGTTCCCTATAGTGACGCAATGTACTCAACCGCGACTCTGAATATCTCTATCTGTTCGGCCCCCGTGAATTTTCCATGGAACAGATGCACACCACACCGGTCTGCAAAGAACGTCTTCTGGTTGGGTTAAAATATCGCACCGCTCGTTACGTTGCATTGCATTGCATTGCATTGCATTGCATTGCATTGCGATTTTATTATTCGCCAAAGTAATCTCACAGGGCTTCGTACTTTTTTATTTTCTTTTTTCCCCTTCATTTTTTTTTTCTTTCACGCTGAATATCAAAATTAGACGGGGGACCAATAGAAGGAAGAAGAAAACAAAAAAAAAACCAAGTAATATTCGCTCGAGTATTGAAAAGATTATTAAAGGGAAATATTTAATCGTTAAGGTATTTTTCGATTGGTCCGAATGTGTTTTCGGAGTAAACGAAAATTTCGTGTTGTTTTTTTTTCTACCTAGGGATTGTATAATATTCAATTTCTCGTTACGATTTAACTAATCCACGAAGGTATAGAACGGAAACAAGAACAATGGCAAAAATGTGGCGAGTGGGGTGTTGGGGGAGGAGGGGGGTAGCGTGCATCGCGTGCATTTATCGTAAAGACGATAGACCTGGGGGACGGACACCCCTTTGAATATCCCTAGCTTAAATCGGCTTCATTAATAATAAACCTGACGAACATAATCGGCAACGTGAGTTCGGGCTTGCGTTGATCTGAAACCGCAGGAAGGGGTGGGGGTGAGGGGTACGAGAGAAACTAGGAAACTCGTCCACGATTAACGGTGTTTCCCAATTAATTTCATAGAGCTAAGGGTAGAATGTTCGGTTTATTACTCGTGGTTTCCATCGATAGTACGATCGAATTTCATGGTCGCAACTGTACAAGCATCCAAGCAACAGAACTAACTATATACTTTTGGAATATCCAAAGGATTTGAAAACTTTTCTTTGGTGCAGGTGGTGGTTGGTGGAGATGGGTGGTGGTGCTGCTTTTTTTTTTCTTCTTCTCAGAGGTTTTTCATATAAAAAAAAAATGCCATTGCTTTTGTATCCCATCCCTCCACACTTCTTCTTTCCCTTCTTTTCTTTTCTCTCCTTCTCTACTTTCCTTCTATCGGGTTGATCATTTTCCTTCTATTCGTTTACTTTGTTTCGTTCGTTCGTTGGTTAGTTCGCATTTAGCTTAAGGCAAAATTGTGGCTTTTACGGAATGTTTATTAAATACTGAAGCACCGTTCGATTTTCTTCTCATTTTAATTTATTTCTTTTTCCTACCTCTTCTCTTTCGTATTACTTTCAAACAGAAATTTTCCATCCATCTTGAAAGGAGAAGGTGCGCGTCGTGTTCTTTTAAAAACTGATAATCGATTTTGATACTAAATAATCAATTGTTGCGGTTTCCGTTAACGTCGATATCATTTTATTAAATTCAGAAAAAAGATTAAATATCGATGAACGATTAAAAGTGTACAAT